GGGGGCTCGCCTGCTCCGGTGGCGGCAGGAAGGCGAGCAGGAGAGAGTGCGTCGCCGCTCCTGCGCTCGCCTCGCGAGGCGCCGCCGCGCTTTCTCCTCGCGCCCCGCTTGCTGCGCGCAGCCAGGCCTCAGCGCCTGCGCCCGCCGAGCGCCCCGACTCTGTCGGACTCTGTCGACGTCGCCCAGGTCTGGGGGCAGGCCGCGGCAAAAGCCTAGAGGCTCGGCAGTCCGAGCTCGCGGCGCGCCTCGGCCAGACAGGCCAGCCAGGCACCCGCGAAGGCGGGCAGTGATCAGGCGGCGCTCCCCGAGGCTGCGCGAGCCCAGCCCCCCACCTGCCAGGGGGGGCAGGCCTGCTCGCGCGCCGCCGCGGTCAGGGGCTGCCCCAGCGCGCCCCCCGGGCGCCCTGAGACCCGACCGTCGTAGTCGGCGCACAAGGCCTCGCTGAGCAAGCGTGCTCGCGCGTGGCGCAGGGTAGCTCCGTTCGCAAAGGTGCGGAGGGGACTCAGCTCGTCCTGCGCTCTGATGCCGCGCTGGCGCAAGATCTGGAGCGCCGTCGAGTAGGCCGTCGCGCCGAGGCCGGCCGCCGCCGGGTCGTCGCCGAGGTTCTCGGCCGCGGCTCCGCCGAGGAAGGGCGGGCGGCTGCCCGCGCGCGGGAGCTCGAGCGTCTCCGCCGGAGCGAGGGTCGCAGGTTGCTCCGATTGCGCGGGTTCCACACCTTGGTCTTGTTCTTGTTCAAGCGGAATCCGCGCGCCGCGAAATGCCCCGGCGCGACTGCAGCGGCCGCGGCGGCGCGCCCGGCGCGCCTGCGAGGTAGACGTCGACCAGGTACGCCACCGCGACATCGCTTGCGCCCCGCCGCAGCGTGCGCGCCAAGCCCTCGTCAAGGGTCGCCGCGGCCGCGGCGAATACAGTTGGCGAGTGGGGGCAGCCCTGGTCGAGCCCCCGCTCTGCTGTCACCTCGGTGACAGCGCCCGAGAGGAGCGCGCCGCGCGCGTTCCCTCCGCGTCGCGCGGCTGCGAGGCGCGCGAGGGGCGGGAGCCTGCCCGCGACCTCGCGGAGGACGACAATACCGCACTCGAGGGTGCTTTCTCCACTGCGCAGGCCACCACCGCGCGCGTCAGCTCGACGCCGCTGCGCCGCCCCACGCCGCACCGGCGCGGGCCCGCAGCCTGGGCGATGAGTTCTTTCTGGTGCGTCGTCGGCGCTTTCGCCGCCATGCGGCGCAGCGTCTCCCCGCAGGCGAAGGGCCGCGCCCCGCCCTACGGCGTCTGGAGCAGGACCAGGCGGCCGCCCAGCAGCGCCTGCGATGCCGACGCGGGCACCGCGCCGCGCAGGATGCAGCCCGGCGCCTCCGCCAGCGCCGCCTTGCCCTCCGCGCGGCCGCGTAGAGTTGCCCATTTCGAGGGATCGCGCCACTTCCTCTGCAGCTGCCTCCTACCAGTTGCCCGCCAGCGGCAGCGGCGGCGCGCGCGCCCGCGGCCCGCCGGCCAAAGGCTGGCCCGGGACCAGGAGGCAGACCAGCTGCAGGCAGAAGACCCCAGACACATTCCCACGGCGTCGCACAGAGGCGGAGAACAGCTTCCACGGGGCTCGGGGGCGCGAGCCCCGCTCTCCCAGCCCGGCCCATCAGTTGAATGACCAGTGCATCAGCAAGGCGCGCGCCCAAGCGAAGGCCGAATATTGCCGTTGGACACGGGGGCTGCCGCCGTCGTCGGGTCGCCGTCGAGGGTCCGCCAGACGTCCAACAGCGGCGCGTCTCAGAGGGGACGGGCTTCGCTGGGCCAGGAAAGGGGGCGGCAGAGAACTCCATTTACTTGTTCGGCGATGCCAGTGGAGGCGAGGACACGCGCCGCCTTCGTCCTCGCCGCGTCGGCATCGGAGTCGCTCTCTTTCGCTCACTCGACCATGACATGCGCATCTCGCCCTGGTGCGTGGACCGCCCTTCTTGGAGCGCGGTAGGCTATTGCAAGAGGAGAATTGCACAGTCTGCGGGCGCGCGTGCGCGAGAGCGAAGGCCGCTTTTATGCACACACAACTCGACCATGTGCTCAGGTTGGCATGCACATCGGCGGCAGCTTCCCTCGAACCCTGACGCTGACCTGCGGTGGCAGATAGGACAGGAGCTCGGGTGCATGCCTGACATTCGCAGCATTGTTGCGTTCATTAAAGTATCGCCTCGGGGCCGAGCACATGGTAGCACAACACGCTCCTCTTTTGTTGACCGTAAGTAACACTGTAGCAGACGAGTTCGCCAGTGCTGGAGCTGCTGTGGCACCCTTGTCTGACAGCACGCGCACACGGGTGCACAGTACAATAAGTCCCGTTCGTGCCGTGCGCAGGCGCATTTTACAGCACGTTCGAAGCAATTCAAGCCGAGGATGCTGTTACAGGCCGAGGATATCGGGGCCCGCCGTCGGCCTAGAAAAGGCTCCGTTTCTAGTGGTTTGTTCTCTTGCAGCCCGACTTTGCGCAATTTCCGCATCGTTTCGTCGCACCACCTCGGCGATAGTGGCCGTGGTTGCACGCGCTGTGATGGGTCGACCGCGCCCGAAGCGAGAGCAGGCCAGAAGAGCCAGGACGCAGCAGAGTCCAGCCTGCTTCCCAATCGTAACCGACACAGTCGCCATGCCCATATTTCAGCAACTCCCTCCTTCACCTCCTCGTGTTCCTCCTCATCCTCCTCCCTTTTTCCTCCCTCCCCCTCCTTCCTCCGCCTCCTCCTGTTCCTCCTCCTTCCTCCTCCCGTCCCCTCCTCTTCCATTCTTTTTCCGTATAAAGACGTCCTTTCTGTCGTATCCTGGGACGCGTCGGTGAGGCGGGCTGGGCGTTTCGCATGGGGCGCCAGCACCATTCATGATGGTGACGCTTGAATTCTGCAGTTGTTTCCAGAATGGAGGGGGCTGCTTTGCAAAATGCGGTTTTCGCGTAAGCGCCGCACAGATTCGTTTTGGCAGTTTGCAGCAGCTTCAACTATTGAGGGGAATCGTTTTCACAATGTGGCTCTCGCCTTAGCGCCGGGTAGATTCGTCTCAAAGGCTTGCAAGAGCTTCGCGGATGGAGGGCGGTTCTTTTAAAAAATGCGGTTCCCGCCGTAGCGCCGCGCACATTCGTCCTAAAAGTTCGCAAAGGCTTCGCGGATGAAGGGTGGGCCGTTTTCGAAATGTGGCTTTCGCCTCAGCGCCGCGCACATTCGCTGTAAGAGCTTATAACAGTTTCAGACATTCTGATGGGTGGCGTCCCAGAAATGACTGACGTCCCAGAAATAGTGTGTCGGCACGATGTCGGAGCGTCAGGGCGCAACAATCACATTGTTCTTCGGTGGTGAGGTCCCCAGAACGGCGTTCTGGCACGATTGAGGGTCGTCAGGACGCAACAGTAACGTTGATTCGCGGCTATGCGGTCTCAGGAAGAGTGTTTAGGCAGGGTTCAAGGCTTTGAGACGACGGTCTTCCAACGGGGCATTTCCCTAAATGAAAAAGTCCTTATGTGGGGCCTACGAGGAAGGAGCTTGGAGGGAGGTTTTGTTGCAGGCGGCGGGAGCGGCCGCCCGTCCGAGCGACGCAGCGAGCGGGCGGCACACCGCCGTCGCCTCGGAGGCCTCCGAGGGCCTTCGACTTGGGAGGGCCCAGCCGCCCGCCACCGGGAGCCCGCCCCCGACGAGTTGGCTGCACCGGCTTGGCAATCCCAGCGCTCGCTGCGCGTGGGGCCGGAGGAGGCGGCACTGCGGCCTCGGCCGTCGGGGGCACGTTTTCCCGATCCGAGGATCAGGCGCTCACGCGCCAGCCTCACGGGTGCGCAATCCATGTCGGCGTGCGCCTGGTTGGCGGAGAGGGTGAGTCGGAAGGAGGGGCAATCATGGAGAGGCATTGAGCTGCACAGCCATACGGTCGGGGACTTTGGCGTAGCGTGTCGTTCCACGCGTCCCCGAACGTCAACTTTACACGAGTTTTTCACCGCCTCCCACCACGCGGAGCGGAGCGACACGCTATCCGCTTGCAAGGCATCGCGTGTCGCCGTGGCCGCCGCCGCCGCGACACGGTAAGCAAAACTTCCCGACAATAGAAGCGCTCGCCTTCAGGGAGTCAGGGATAACAATCATCCTCATCATTAGGTTTCTCTCTCTCTCTCTGTTGGTTTTGTAACGCACAAAGTTCAAATTGGTGGTTTGTGTATTACTGTTTGCTCAATCGGAATATTTCCCGTGTTTCAAAATTGTGTCCCCGCTGCAGCGTTCGCTTGGTTATAGGATCGCCGCATCATCCCCGTCCTTCACAATGGTGCTCTCGCTCCCGCGCGCGCCACAATTCTGGACCCCAGTCCTTGCTCGTCGTTGGGACCCCCCCTTGGCCTGCGCCTTGCACTGGGCCTCTGCTCCTCCCACTCCTCCCGCTCCTTTACTCCTGCTCCCGCGGCCGCGAGTCCCGCTGGCGGGGCGCTCCGCTTCAAGGGGAAGCGACGCGTCCAGTGCGCACCTTGGCGGGCCCAGCAAGACGGCCGGGCGGCCGCCGCGGCGCGCCGAGGGGCTTCGCCTCCCAGAATGGCCCCGGAAGAGCCCCAGTCGAATCCGCGGAGGAGCCCTCCACGGGCCCTCCGCCTCCTGCCCGCACCTCGGACCTCCGCGCCGGCCTCTCAAGGCCGAATGTCATACCCTTGTTATGGTGATCCCGCTCCTTCTTGCCCTCCTCCTTTTTCATCCTCATCTTCTTCCTCCTCATCCTCGTGCTCATCCGCAACGTCCTCCTCCTCCTCCCCCTCCTCCTCCTCCTCACCCAAAGTACACAGCTCCCAATTTTCTGACTGCACATAGCGCGATGTGGTCGTCTTGAGGGTTTCAAGTCCGCTTTGACACCCGTCGGCGGATGGAGGCAGCATCAGCGCAATGCGAAGGGATGGGTGGGAGGGGTGGGATGTCAGATCTGGCGCGAGCGCACCCAGCTTGCCTTCACCCGCTCTCTCCTCCCCTCTCCTTCCTCCTCCTGCTCGCGGTGGGCAAGACCGAGGTGTATTTGAAGCAGGGCTTCGAGTGGCTGTCGCACCCGATCAAGGCGCAAAGGGCATGGAGAGCGCCTTCTCTCTCCACGAAGGGCAGCGAGAGCACCTCCTGTCCCTCTTCCCCCCTGTGCGTGCTCCCGCCTTCCCCTCCTCCCTCCTGCCCCTCGCGTGGGAGCCCCGCGGGGGGGGGTAGGAGGATGAGGAAAAGAAGGAGGAGGAGGAGGAGAAGGAGGAGGACGGGGAGCAGGAGGAGGAGAAGGAGGAGGAAGGATGGAAGGGGGGCAGGACGACGCTGAGCAGGAGATGCCACGGCCCCTTCTTCCCCCTCACAGGACCCCCTCTCACTGCCAGTGCTTGCGCTCGGCGGATTCATCACCGGCTTTCTGCTGCCTGAAGTCATTTTGGCTGAAGTAACGGTCTGGCTCAAGAAACTGTCAGCTCAAGTAACCGTCCGCAGAAAGGTTCGACCGACCATGGACATGGTTGACAAGCTGACCAGAGGGACCCGGAAGACAGAAGGTGGAAGTGGGAACACACCAGACGACACGAGAGCGAAATTGTTGGAGGAGGCACAGAGAAGCGAGAAACGCGGAGGAGGAGGAGGCAGCATGGGCAGCGAACACATGAATATGACGAAAACGCGGGTCATGATGACGGAGATGAAGGAGATGAAGGAGATGCTGACCAGGAGTGAGAAGGGCACCCTGGAGGCCAAGGACGATGCGGCGTCGGCGAAACAATCCGCGCTCCAGGCGAACCGAAGCATCAGCAGCTTGGGAATAAATTCCATAAGTTCCAGGAGTCGGTCGCTACGAAGGAAAATTTGGAGGAGATGGTCAAAAGCATAGGCAAGACGACGACGGAGGAGGAGGTAAGGCAGATGGTGCAGACAGCGATGGACAAGCACAGCACGAACAGAAGCGTGGAGAGGGGCACATCGGCAGCTCCAGCAGTATCAAGCACAGTATGCGTGGTTGGATGACTCAAAAAATTACTCCGACGGAAGGGCCCTTATCCCTTTCCTCCCGGCCATGGCAAACACCCTCCTCTCGCCCTCTCCTCAGCCCTCTTTTCTTCCTTCTTCTATTTCTCCCCCTCCCCCTCCTTCTCCCCCTCCTCCTCCTCCTCCTCCTCCTCCTCCTTTTCCACCTCCTCCTCACTATCGCCCTCCCCCTGCCCCTGCCCGGACGCAAGGGTTCCCCCCTGCGCCCGATTCGGCTGACGATGTGTTACCACCGCCCGCCCGGAGACAAGGGTTTCCCCCTGCCCCCGATTCGGCCGAGGATGGGGCCCGGACGCAAGGGTTCCCCCCTGCGCCCGATTCGGCTGACGATGGGTTACCACCGCCCGCCCGGAAACAAGGGGTTACCCCTGCCCCCGATTCGGCCGAGGATGGGTTAACACCCCCAGCCCGGACGCAAGGGGCTACCCCTGCGCCCGATTCGGCCGCCGATGGGTCACCACCGGCGGCCCGGAGACAAGGGGTTACCCCTGCCCCCGATTCGGCCGAGGATGGATTACCACCCCCGGCCAGGACACAAGGGGCTACCCCTGCGCCCGGCCGCTGCCTCGTCGTCGTCGTCGTGGTGTTGTCGGGTACGCAGGCCCATGACAACAGCAAATTTGCTGACGGTCAGCTCAGACGAGGCTACCCGCACTTCGCTCACAGACAAAGTTCCCGCCTGACACTTCCCCCGTATTCATGCCGCGGGAGCTGAGGAGCCCAAAAAGCTCGCTCGGATGACCCGCTCGGATTACCAACATGAAGTGCGGGACCCATAGGGAGAGGCTCCCGCCTGAGACTCCCTCGCCACTCACTCACAGACGAGGCTCCCGCTTGATACTTCCTCCACAGTCAGGCCTGAAGAGCCCAAAAGTGACGACAGTTACAAGAATCCGATGGCCCGCTTCTGATTCGAACTTGAAGCGCGGGCCCCATAGGGAGGGGGGCTCCCGCCTGAGACTTCCCTGCAATTCATTCACAGACAAGGTTCCCGCCCGATACTTCCCCCATATTCAAGCTTCAGGAGCCCAAAAGTGACGACAGTTAGAGGTTTGAGGATGACCCGCCTCGGATTCGAGCATGAAGCGCGGCCCCCATAGGGAGAGGGCGTTCCCGATTGATACTTCCTCGCAATTCACTCACAGACAAGGCTCCCGCCTATGACTTCCTCCATATTCTGGCCGCAGGAGCCCGAAAGTGACGACAGTTAAAGGTGTGAGGATGACCCGCTCGGGTTACCAACATGAAGTGCGGGCTCCATAGGGAGGGGGGCTCCCGCCTGAGACTTCCCTGCAATTCACTCACGGACAAGGCTCCCGCCGGATACTTCCCCCATATTCAAGCTTCAGGAGCCCAAAAGTAACGACAGATACAGGTTTGAGGATGACCCGCTCGGATTACCAACATGACTTGCCGTCCCCATAGGGAAGAAGCTCCCGCCTGAGACTTTTTCGCAATTCATCACAAACGTGGATTCCGCCCGATACTTTCTCCATATTCAGGCTTCAGGAGCCCAAAAGCGACGACAGTTACACGTTTTGGATGACCCGTTCGGATTACCAACATGAAGTGCGGGCCCCATAGGGAGAGGAGGCTCCCGCCTGAGACTTCCACAGAATTCGCCCACAGACGAGGCTCCCGCTTGGCACTTCTTCCAAATTCAGGCCTCAGGAGCCCAAACGCGACGATAGTTACAGGTTTGAGGATGACCCGCTCGGATTACCAACATGAAGTGCGGGACCCATTTGGAAGGGGGTCCCGCCTGAGACTTCTTCACAATCCATTCACAGACGAGGCTCCCGGTCTAGGCGTCCTCTATATTAAGAGTATATAGTGAGTGATGACGAAAAGATGAGTGAGCGAGTGGTGATGAGGATGATGTTGATGATGATGAGTGGTGATGATGATGATGACTGACAGAATGATGATGATGGTGCTGATGAGGAGGAGAATAGTAATGATGATGATTGATCGAATTATGATGATGTTGCTGATGAGGAGGATTCGAATGGTGTGAGTGTGAATGAGTTTGATGATTATGATGATGGTGACGGTGACGAGGATGATGAGTAGTGATGATGGGTGGTGATGATGATGATGGTGAGTGAATGGGTGCGGGGTGATGATGGTAGTGATGATCAGGATGATGATGATGATGATGATGATGATGAGTGATGATGACTGATGATGATGACGGCCAGAGAGAGGAAGAGAAAGAGAAAGAGAGAGAGAGGGGGGGTGAGGAGATCTTGCGCGGAGGGTGTCCAGAGAAAACAAGAACCCCACTTAGGATGTGGGGAAATATTCATGCAAAGCAGCGTCAGATTGGATTCACAAGCCTGCCCGGCCTGAGAACGTTTATAAGAAGGACAAAGTTGGGGAGATGTCCATAGGCTTGGTGTTTGCGAAGTTCCGCGACGTGATCGAGGCTACGAAGCGCGGTGGGGTTTTGAGGGAAAAGGTTATTGGGGAGAACATCGTTCAGGATACGAAGAATAAGATCTGGTCCGATATCGAAACCCCTATCGAGACTCGCGTGTGCACGGGTTTCCTGAGTAACCTTCGGAACCAGCTGATCGAGTGGAAGCTTTCTCCAGAATGCATCAACGTAATCAGGGACATGGCCGCGCTCAAGGTCCGGGGTGTGGAGGTCGTGACGGCGGAGGTTGTTGCGAATGAGGCCCAGGCGGAGTAGCTGAAAGATGTTTGGAAGGAGTGGCCAGACATCCAGTCTTCGCCGTAGCTGGCCGCCGCAATCAGGACCTCCAAAGAAAGGTTCGCCAAGAGTTGGGGCAAGACGTCCAAGGGGGCCGGGAAAGGCCTTGTCCATTGATGTGGCCGTGCAGAACTTGTGGGCCCCATTGTGAAAGATACGATCGCGCGTGGTTCTTGACATGTAAAGGGACTTATTGATTTGAAGGTTTTTGAAATAATTCAACACGCGAAACGTTACGACTTAGAGGCTCTATGTTTGCAGGAAACGTGGGTGAGTACCAGCAGCGTGAATGTGGAAACCGGGTATACCATCATTCCTTCCAGAAGGGAATGGCACCCGGTCGCGGGCAGAAGCGGGAGTCATCGCATCGCCGAGGTGGAGAGCAGCAGCCAAGTCTCTCAAGCAGATCTCATACAGAACGCGCGGTCGAAAGTTGCGCGGCCGGGGAGGTCTTTGGGGGGTCATCGCAGCACGCGCCCCGCACAATGCGAGGCCTTTGGATGAAAGGTTTGATTGGTATGCACACATGGATGCTGAATACCCTAGCTGTTCTGCGAACGGTGGACATTCCCGACCTAGGCTCTGCCTAGAAGGGTTCTTACCCTGTATGCTTAAAGGGCCGGGCAGTGCTCCCCGCCCCGGGCGGTTCCCCCAGGATCCGCCCCGCGGTTCCCCCAGTTGCGCCCCCTGGGTTCACCCAGCTTAGCTTAGCTTAGCTTAGCTTATCTTAGCTTAGCTTATCTCATCTTAGCTCAGCTTAGCTTAACTTTGCCTAGCCTAGCTTAGCTTAGTTTAGCTTAGACTAGCTCAACTTTGCTTAGATTGTATCATCTAATATTAGCTTGGCTTAGCTTGGCTTAGCTTAGCTTAGCTTAGCCTAGCCTAGCTTAGCTTAGCTTAGCATAGCTTAGCTTACCTTAGCTTAGCTTAGCGCAGCGCAGCATAGCGCAACGCAGCATTAGCACAGCATAGCATAGCCAAGCATAGCATAGCATAGCATAACACAGCATAGCATAGCATGGCGCAGCATAGCATAGCATATCATTGCATAGCATTTCTTAGCATAGCACAGCGCAGCATAGCATATCATAACACCGCACAGCATAGCATAGCATAGCATAGCATAGCATAGCGCAGCATAGCATAGCATAGCAGAGCATAGCATAGTGCAGCATAGCATATCATAGCATAGCCCAACATAGCATAGCATAGCGCAGCATAGCATAGCATATCATAGCATAGCGCAGTATAGCGTAGCATATCATAGCATAGCGCAGCATAACATAGCCTAGCATAACACAGCGCAGCCGAGCGTACCCTAGCATGTCATAGCATAGCATAGCGCAGCATAGCGCAGCATAGCAAAGCATGGCATAGCATAGCAGATCATAGCGCAGCGTTGCATAGCGTAGCATAGCATAGCAGCAAGGCAAAGGCAAAGCAACAGCAGCAACAGCAAAGCAAAGCACAAGCAACGCAAAGCCGGACCTGCAGAACCTTGCTCAATGCCAAGTCGTGCGGTGTAGATTGGATACGGAGCATTCTCAAGCACACCCGGTGAGCGAATGCGAAAACATGCGTGTGTGTGTCTGTGCGCAGGCAAAGCAACAACAAAATCAAGCAAAAGCAAACACAAAAGCAAAGCAAAAGCAACAGCAACAGCAAAAGCAAAGGCAAAAGCAAAGGCAAGAGCAAAAGCAAAGGCAATGCAAAGGAAAAGCAAAACCAATGCGAACGTGTAGATGTAGATGTAGATGTAGATGTAGATGTAGATTGAGATGTAGATGTAGATGTAGGTGTAGGTGTAGATGTGGATGTAGGTGTAGATGTAGATGTAGATATAGATGTAGATGTAGATGTAGGTGTAGATGTAGATGTAGATGTGAGTCTCGCTGTTGATGTAAATGTAGATGCAGGTGTAGATGTAAATGTAGTTGTCGGTGTAGATGTAGATGTTACTGTCCTAAATGCTCCAACTCCTAGGTAGGGTCGCACTGGGATAATTTTATTTCCGGAGAGCTCTACCGCAGTCCCCAGTGGCAAAGTTCGCATGCGGCTCTCGACCAAGCCGGCAGACCCCTCACGCGCTTCGTGGCCCCAGAAACGGCTCCACCGAAGGCCCCAACGGCAAAGATCGCACTCGGCCCCCCGCCCACTTCGGCACACCCGTCGCACGCTTCGTGGTCCCATAGGGAGCTCCACCGAAGGCCCCAACGGCAAAGTTCGCACGTGGTTCCCTGCCCATTCCGGGACACCCATCACACGCTTCGCGGCCTCATGGGAAGCTTCACCGAGGACCCTTGTGGCAAAGTTCGCATGTGGTTCCCCCTTCACTGATGCACACCACTCACACGGTTCGTTGCCCTCCACCGAAGGCCCCAACAGCAAAGTTCGCATGCGGCTCCCCGCCCACTTCGGCACATCCGTGACACGTTTCGTGGTCCCATAGAGAGCCCCACTGAAGGCCCCCGTGGCAAAGTTCGCATGCGGCTCCCCGCCCATGTCGGCGCACCCATGGCACGCTTCGTGGCCTCACAGGAACTTCCACCGACGGCCCCAGTGGCCAAGTTCGCACGCGGTTCCCCGCCCATGTCGGCACACCCCTTACACGTTTCGTGGCCCCACAAAGGAGCTAGACCGAAGGTTCCAGTGGCAAAGTTGCGGCTCCTGCCCATGTCTCCACGCCCGTCACACGTTTCGTGGCCCCTTGGATGCTCCATCGATGGAAAGTGGCAAAGTTCTCATGCGTTTCCCCGCCTACTTCGACACACCTCTCACACGCTTCGTGGCCCCATACAGAGTTCCACCGAAGGCCCCAATGGCAAAGTTCGAATGCGGCTCCCCGCCCACTTCGGCACACCCGTCACACGTTTCGTGGTCCCATGAGGAGCTCCACCGAGGCCCCAACGGCAGGGTTCGCATGCGGTTCCCCGCCCATTTCGGCACACCCTTCACACGCTTCGCGGCCCCATGGGGGCTCCACCCAAGGACCTAGTGGCAGGGTTCGCGTGCGGTTTCCCGACCCAGGGGAGCTCCACAGGGAGCTCCACCGCGCCAGGCAACCTTGGGGCCCGAGCGTGCCAGGCACGCCTGATGCGCCAGATGCGCCACGTGCTCCGCGTGCGCCAGGTGTGCCGCATACTCCAGCCGCGCCAGGTGCGCCACGTTCAGGGCACGTGCAGAGCGTGTCAGGTGCGCCTGCGCACTTGGCAGCACACGTCGGGAAACATGTCGGCTCCCACCGTCCTGATCGAAAACCAATGCCCGTCATTGTGTCTGGTGGGCCTGCGCACAGCAGGCCACACGCCACCACCCACGCCGTTCCTGTCAAAAATCACTTGGCAGTGATCGCGGGGTGGCCGCACATAATCCCGATGTAGCCGCGAGGCGCACGTTGTACTGTTCTCTGTTAGGAATGTTAGCCCTGTGCACAGCAGGCAATATGCTGACACCCCCGCCGTCCCTGTCAAAAACAATACAAAGTGCTCGCGGGCCTCACGAACATGACTCAAGACTGTGCCCCAAAGTGTATTTTGTATTGTCTTTTGACGGGATCGTACGGGGGCGCATCGGGTTGGCCGCGCATACTCCAAATGTGGAGGCAGAATGCGTTTTGCATTGTTGTTTGACAGGGATGGCTGCAGGGAGTGACCATAGTGTCCTCACTGTTCCTGGTTGGCTGCCGGTGGCCTGGGGGAGGGGATGTATTGCGAAGGCCTGACGGCCGGTGCCGCCGACCCTGTTCGCAATGCGCAGCAAGAGATTACGAGGTTGCTCAAGGTCGGCTTGGCTGGAGCCCAGGGGAAAGGAGTCCCAGGGGGGGGCGTCGTATCTGACCCGGGGGGGGGGTCGACACCCCCCCCCCCTCCCGGCGGGGGAGGGATCAAAGGGAAGGGGCTTCCCTTCGACTCAATTACGAGGTTGCTCAAGGTCGGCTTGGCTGGAGCCCAGGGGAAGAGGAGTCCCAGGGGGGGGCGTCGTATCTGACCCGGGGGGGGGTCGACACCCCCCCCCCCTCCCGGCGGGGGAGGGATCAAAGGGAAGGGGCTTCCCTTCGACTCAATTACGAGGTTGCTCAAGGTCGGCTTGGCTGGAGCCCAGGGGAAGAGGAGTCCCAGGGGGGGGCGTCGTATCTGACCCGGGGGGGGGGTCGACACCCCCCCCCCCCTCCCGGCGGGGGAGGGATCAAAGGGAAGGGGCTTCCCTTCGACTCAATTACGAGGTTGCTCAAGGTCGGCTTGGCTGGAGCCCAGGGGAAGAGGAGTCCCAGGGGGGGGCGTCGTATCTGACCCGGGGGGGGGGTCGCTACCCCCCCCCCCCTCCCGGCGGGGGAGGGATCAAAGGGAAGGGGCTTCCCTTCGACTCAATTACGAGGTTGCTCAAGGTCGGCTTGGCTGGAGCCCAGGGGAAGAGGAGTCCCAGGGGGGGCGTCGTATCTGACCCGGGGGGGGGGTCGACACCCCCCCCCCCCTCCCGGCGGGGGAGGGATCAAAGGGAAGGGGCTTCCCTTCGACTCAATTACGAGGTTGCTCAAGGTCGGCTTGGCTGGAGCCCAGGGGAAGAGGAGTCCCAGGGGGGGGCGTCGTATCTGACCCGGGGGGGGGGTCGACACCCCCCCCCCCTCCCGGCGGGGGAGGGATCAAAGGGAAGGGGCTTCCCTTCGACTCAATTACGAGGTTGCTCAAGGTCGGCTTGGCTGGAGCCCAGGGGAAGAGGAGTCCCAGGGGGGGGCGTCGTATCTGACCCGGGGGGGGGGTCGCCCCCCCCCCCCTCCCGGCGGGGGAGGGATCAAAGGGAAGGGGCTTCCCTTCGACTCAATTACGAGGTTGCTCAAGGTCGGCTTGGCTGGAGCCCAGGGGAAGAGGAGTCCCAGGGGGGCGTCGGAGACCCGGCGGGGGGGATCAAAGGGAAGGGGTCGCTGAGGTCGGCCTGGAGCCCCCCCGTATCTGACCCGGGGGGGGGGTCGACACCCCCCGGGGAGGGATCAAAGGGAAGGGGCTTCCCTTCGACTCAATTACGAGGTTGCTCAAGGTCGGCTTGGCTGGAGCCCAGGGGAAGAGGTCTCCCAGGGAAAGGGAAGGACAGAGACGACGAGTACAAAGAATGACGGAGATGACGGCTCGAACGGAAAACCCCCTCACACACGCCGACAGGGTCGGCGGATATTTATAGGGAACAGTGATAAACCCCTCCTCGGCGTGGAAGAAGGGGGTTGGAAGAGGAACCTCTCTAGACCACCTACGCCCCGAGGGCTGGTGGGATTATCCTCTCCCTGGCTGGCAAGTTTTGCTCCCGCCCCAGGGTCCTGACCCCGGAGGTCCCCGAAGGGCCTCCAGAGGCCCGACAAGGGCCAATAACGAAGAACGTTTGAAGAATGCTCCCCCCACCCAGCCTCTACCCTCGAGGGCAGAACTTGCCCCCCAACCCCCACCCCCGCTCTCCCCCATCCCCTCCTCTCTCTTCGTATCTGTCGGAATCGTGTTCAGACAAAGGAGCGGCACAGACGCCGCACTACCCCCGGATCCTTCTCGCCGACGCTTTGTTCCCAAGAGGCTTGAGCATCTTCCTCTTCTTGGGCCCTTGAGGGCACTGGAGAGAGCAGAGTGAACACGCCAACGGTCAGGAACGTTGGCTTAGCGTGTCGCTCCGCAGGCGCTGGCCCACCACGCTGCGGTGCGACAAGCTATCCACGGCCAGGTTCCCCGGCGTCAACGTCGCGAGCCTTTTCCCAGCCTCCCGCCCCGCGGAGCGGAGCGACACGCTATCCGCTCGCAGGGCATAGCGTGTCGCCAGGGCCGCCGCGGCGACTCGCTATACTAAAGTTCCCGACCCTACTCTGTTCCCAAGAGGCTTGACCATCTCCCCCCTCTCGAGCCCCTCCATGGCCCGCCAGAGAGCAGAGTGAGCACGTCTACACGACCGGTAAGGCTTCGGACTGCGCACAGGCAGCCCCCCAAGTAGTCCCAGTTGGCATAAACAGGCCTTCCGGAGGCGGCGACGGGGTGTAGAGGGCGCCCCGGACCAATTATTTGGGGGGCCTGTTGAGGCCAGCTGTGACTTCCTGGGGGGGGGGCTTGTTGAGGGCAGACGTGACTGCCTGTGGGGGCTGTCTGCACGCAACCCGAAGCGTTACCATGCGTCTGCGTGCGCGACACTGCCATCGTCCGCCGCCACCTTCTCACCCGCGCATCCTCGCCCGCCGGAGGTGTCCCTCGACCAGCCTGGGCCCGACAGCTTCCGCCTCCGCGTGGTGATCGACCGCGCGCTGTACGGGGCGGAGGAGCAGGACCGCTTCACAGCGCTGCTCGAGGACCCCGCGCCCCAAGGAGGAGGACAAAATGGAAGATGAGGAGGAGGTGGAGAAAGAGGAGGAGGAGGGGGGAGGAAGGAGGAGGAGGAGGAGGAGGAGGAGGAGGAGTAGGAGGAGGGAGGAAGGAGGAGGAGGAGGAGGAGGAGGAGGGACGAGAGAGGGAGGAGGGAAGAGGAGGAGGAGGAGGAGGAGGAAGAGGAAGAGAGGACGAGGGAAGAGGAGGAGGAGGAGGAGGAGGAGAAGGAGGGATGAGGCAGCTGGCCAGCGGGGCAAGCGGCCAGGAAGGGGCCCGATGCTGGAGGGGCGGCTGTTGGCTGCTAGCTCCGTCTGCTGGCCCCTGCTGCGGGCCCATGCTCGCGGCGCACCGCACCGTCGTCGCGTTCGCCTTGGCGGTCCCGTGTATCGAAATGCATAGGGCCCTGCGGGCGCACCCCCTCGGCTCCAGGACAAGTCACCGCTGAGCGGTGCGCTGGTTCTGGGGTTTGGGGGTTGCGCCCGCTCCCGATCAGAGTGCCTGTGCCTGGACGCGCGGACAGACGCGCTCGCCGCTCGGAAGGAGGAGGAGGTGGAGGAGCAGGAGCAGGAGGAGAAGGAGGAGGAGGGAGAGGAGGAGGTGGAGGGGGGAGAGGGAGCGGAAGGTGAGGAAGCGAGTGAGGAGGAAGCGGAGGAGGGGCAGAGAGGAAGTGGAGGAGCAGTCCCCCCCCCCTGCCCCCCCCCCGCTTCCTTCCTCCATCCTTCCTCCTTCCCCAGCCCTACCTCCTGAGCCCCGTTCCTTGGCCCCCCATCCCCCTCCCCGAAACCCCTCCTGAGCTCCCTCCTGAACCCCCCCGAAGCCCCTTTGAGCCCCCGCCAGCGCGCGACCGAGGAGGCCTTCGCGGCACTCCTTATCAGCCCGCTGCAGGCCGTCTGGCCCAGCGAGCACGCCCCCGCGGCCCCGGCGTAGGCGGGGCACGCGCGCGCCTCCCTCTACGCCATGCTGAAACGCAACACGTACGGCCGGACCGAAGTAGGAGATCGAGGTCGGCTCGGGGAAGGTACCCTAACGATTCACTTGCATGTTTGTCGAATGGTTATGTGCATCCCGGGTGAGGGTACCCTCTAGTGCTCATATGGTTCGGAGTGTTTTTGTTGGCGGAAGGCCCCGCGTTCCTAAAGATCCGGCGGCCCCCTTGTGGGGCCACCAGGCTGTAGGTCGACGTTGCTGCTCCCTGCACCAGTTGTAGCTTCGAGGTTCCAATGTTACAGTTCTCCTTCCTGCTTCCTATTGTAAACTGTTGAAGTCCGCGCGAGGGGAGGAGCCCCAAACCAGCAATTTACGCCCGGATCGCGTTGCCTGACTTCGGGAGTGGGCGTGGGACACGAGAAAGTATGCAAGATTCGCGCCCCCGAGGTCATAATCCTTCGTAAGTTACGCAAGATTCGCTTCCCCGAGGCAACGAGCCCTCGCAAATGATGCAATGTGTGCGTCCCCGTGGAAACAAGCCTTCGCAAATTACGCCGTAGTCGCGTGGACCAGCTCACCTTTGCAAATTACATTGAATTCGCATTGCCGAGGCCAAGAGTGCCCCAAGGCGCCCGAAGATGTTTCCAAGACGGCCCGAGAGAGCCCCAAGAGACCCCAAGAGCGCTCCAAGAGGCCTCCCGAGAGAGCCCCAAGAGGCCAACATCGCTGATTCCATCAAGGTGTTTGAAGGATGTGGGCCTTCTCGCATTTTCGAATTCTCGACGCTCCAAGGCAGCCCAAGAAGCTCCAAAGACCGCCCCAAGACAGCCCAAGAGGATCCCAAGACGGCCCAAGAGGGCTCCAAGATTGCCCAAGAAGCATTCAAGACTGCCCAAAAGGGCCCCAAGACGGCCCCAAGAGGGGCCCAAACAGGGGACCACGAACGGAACATGTTATAGTTGTGTCCCGAGAAGCCCCCAGGAGGCCCCAAGAGCCCACCAAGAGGCCCCAAGAGGCGCCCACGACGCGCTCAAGAGGCCTCCAAGAGGCCCAAGAGATACCACACGAGGCCCCAAGAGGCCCCCAAAGGGTGCCCAAGCCGCCTCCAAGAGGCCCCTGAGAGGCCCCCCACGACACCCCAACACATATACAAGAGGCCAGGCCTCAGACCCACAACCCATGCACGGTGGCGGGATGGGCCGAAGGCCATTCGGATCATGCCAAGGTCTCAGTATGCGTTGGTGGTTCCTATGCGCCCCCGCATGATGTTTCCAGATGCGCCAAGGCGGCGCCGAGACGCACCGACGCGGCTCTGATATATCCCATTATGATAAAGAGGGGGCCGACGGCAGGGGGCGAAGCCCTTACGGATATTACTCTGTCCTAGGTCCGACCATACCGTGGTCAAAACGTCAGTGTTAACACGCTGCGTGTTGGCTCGGCACGTGTTCGCCCGCGCTTGTGCCAACGCATCGCGCCAGACCCACGTGTTCAGTCTACGCGTTGAGTCCCGTGTCAACACGATGCGGGTTGCGTCTTGCGTATCGGGGCGGCTAGTGGTCGGGGCTCTGCGCGGTGGCCAGGCCGCGCCGAGCTCACCCGGGGATGACCTCGGCGCGGCTTCCCCGGACGGGGCGCTCGGCCGTTGCAGCGGCGACCGGCACCGCGCGAGGTTGCGTAGAGAGGTGGTGGCGGCGGCGAGGGCAAGAGGGAGGCAGGGAGCGATGGGGAAGTTGCAAAGATGGCGCCAGATCCGAACGGATCACACACAAAGTTCGGTGTCCATCTTGCGGTTTGGAAACACGCTTTGGTTCGTCAGTCGTTGGTTTCGACTTGCATCTGGGTGCTGTAATTGCTCCGTCGTGTACAATTGGTGTTTGGCCTCTTCCTGGAGGAGTGTACGTGAGGATTTGGCCTTTGGCCTGCCCTTCCGCATTGCATGGATGACATCGAAGAGGGCTGCTTCACATGTCGACGTATTCCAATGTATTCCAAAACGTGCTTGGTTCTTGCTGAGTTTGCGGTAAATACCCCGGATTCACGTAGGACGGTACGCGCGCCATGCATTACATCTATTCGGTTCCTCCTTGTTGCTGCTGCGGGCGACAGGCACTTAAGAAGAGGGGGGGCGGAGAAGGGGGCAAGTGAGCTCAACGCCATGCTCTGCGGCTTTGCGTTCTGTGATGCCGCAGCGCCGCGCGCTAAATAACGGGATCGCGCAAACCGTCATTTGGGCATGTAGGTGTTTTGCACCCCGCCGTGCTTGTAGGAGCCCACCAAAGGGGCGATAGTTGCGCAGCCGCGAGTTTTCAAATTATCCACGTTGCCCTGCATTCCGCCGTGCTTCACAGGAGCCCACGAACCTAACGACACTTGCGCAGTTCGCAGCTCCCGAGGGGGCCGCGAGGTCTCAAATGACCCGCGTTGCCGTACATTCCCGGCAGGTTCCGAATCACAAACTAAACATTGAATCACAGACCGCGGCGAATCACAGACCGCGCGCGCCGAATCACAGACAGCACACATTGAATCACAGACCGCGCGCGCCGAATCATAGACAACATACATTGAATCAGACCACACGCGACGAATCACAGACATCACACATTGAATCACAGACCGTACGCGACGAATCACAGATAGCGCACGTTGAATCACAGACCGCACGCGGCGAATCACAGACAGCACACATTGAATCACAGACCGCACGTGACGAATCATAGACCGCACATGCTGAATCACAGACTGCACGCGACGAATCACAGATCGCACATTTAATCACGTACCACAGGAACCGAACCACAAACCAAACATTAAATCGCAAATTGCGCAGAATAGAATCGGAGACCGCCAGAAATAAACGGTCGCAATGGATTCCATGGTTGGACCTAAATTTCAATGAAATTACATTGGTTTCCGTAATGGCGGATTCGGGCTTCAATAACCGGACCCGGGTTTCCACATTTGTGGGCCGCAATTTCCATATTTTTTCGGACCGCAGTTTCCATATTCGCGGACATCATGGCGTGTTGCATAATTGCGGATTCAGGTTTCCATATTGTCAAATTCGTGTGTTCATCAATGTTGAGTTGGGTTTACATCGATCGGGACCCCATTTCCAATCGTTGCGGATTGGTCCCTACGAAATGTTATCTTATTTCCCAGGTTCTTCGAAGTTCGAGTTTTTTCCCTAACCGTTTTAATAATTAACTACCCATCACGGACATTCACGACAGCAACACTGATAGCAAGACGACAGCGATAATGCTTGCAATGGAATTGGCGGCGGCGGCGGCGGCAGGGGTGGCGCCCGCGGCGACGTTCTCAGAAACGCTCTCTTTATTCCCAACCTTCCTTGGTTGGGCATTCGTTTTGAATAGAGCAATGTGGTCTCCACTTTCTCCTTTCCTCCTGCCTCCCGTCCCGCCTCCCTCTTGCCTCCTCTTGTCTTGCTTGCGGGGGGCCGCGATCTGTGAAACTGTCGCCACTTTCGAGGCTGCTGGGGGGCCCAGCACAGTGACGCCACGAGCGGGTTTAAATTAGACCTCGCCATCCCTGGGGGGCTGCGATGTGCGAAACTGTCGCCACTTTCGAGGCCTGCTGGGGGGCCCAGCACAGTGACGCCACGGGCGGATTCAAATTAGACATCGCCATCCCTTGGGCGCTGCCATATGTGAAACTGTCTCCACTTTCGAGGCCTGCTGGGGGACCCAGCACAGTGACGCCACGGGCGGATTCAAATTAAACCTCGCCATCCCTGGGGGGCTGCGATCTGTGAAACTGTCGCCACTTTCGAGGCCTGCTGGGGGGCCCAGCACAGTGACGCCACGGGCGGATTCAAATTAGACCTCGCCATCCTTGGGGGGCTGCGATCTGTGAAACTGTCGCCACTTTCGAGTTCTGTTGGGGGGGCCAGCACAGTGACGCCACGGGCGGATTCAAATTAGACCTCGCCATCTTTGGGGGGCTGCGATCTGAGATCCCCGCTTTCGAAGTGGCTAGGTTTGCTCAGGGATTGTAACTAATCAGTTTTATCTAACCCTTGTCCTGTAGCCATTGTCCTGCGAGTCTCCCGAATTCCGTCTGCAGACATATGTAACCTTCGTTCCGTCATCGCCCACCTTATGAAGTGTCCTAAACTATTTGCGCCCCGCGTTTGCGCAGGGATCGGGTACGTCGCCAGGGTAGTGTTATTGTGTTTTTTTCCTCCTGTCTTCTGTTTCTCCTTCTCTCGGCTTGCTAGTTCTTGGCTGCCCAAGGCGAGAGACAGGGAGTAGAGGGAAGCTGAGTAAGGAGATAAACGAGGAGTAAGATACAGAAGCCACGAAGAAAGAAATAACAAAAAGAAAAAGGAAAAGGAAGAAATTGGGATAAGGGGAAACAAAGGGAGAGGACGAAGGAAGGAAATGAGAGGAGGAAGGAAGGGGGAAAAATAAATAAGGGGAAGCCAGCCGAAATGTTGGCCCTGGCCCTCATCACCAGACGTTACAATATCGAATGGTTCGTTACATGTGAATGGTTCTTGCTGCATCAATTTCAATCGACTGTGGGAGCGCATCTGCTATAACCATGAAGGTATCATTCGCGTGCATGGCGCTGCTTAGCTTGCTGACTGCGCCGCGTTTCACCTATGCTTAGAGAATGTTAAAAGAAGAAGCAGGAGGCGCACGAATCCATTGGCGAACTGACATTTTTTCCATTGTCTCTCTGAAGGCGTCTTCACGTTCAATTTCACACTATCGCACATCAAATTATAAGTTTCTTTTGAGTTAAATCGCAGGATCACCGGTTCAACAATCCTTACAGGTCAACTCGGATCACTAGATCCATCAGACGACCAGATCAGCCAAATGTAGATCGATCAGCCGGCCGGATCAGCCGGATTAGTAGATCAGTTGGCCATATCACCGGATCGCCAGGTCAAAATGGCTTAATCACCGGATCAGCGGGATCAATGGATCAATCAATCTTCAGTCATTGTATCAGCAGACCAGATCACC